AGAGACAGCCTCACCCCCCGCTCCCCGGACTGCACCCGCATCCCTCCGCACGCAGACCCCGGAGCTCCCTGCCCATCCCTCTCTCCTGTGCGTGCGATGTGCTTGGCCCCAGCGCCGCGGGGTTCGGGGTGACCCCGGCTCCCGGGAAGTGGGGACACTCGGCAGAGCCACGGGGATCAGCGCCGGCCTGCGGCGACAGGAGCTCACAGCCAGGGAAGGAAGGGGTGCAGGGCCACAGTGGCCCACGGCAAGTCCCGTGTGGCCCAAATGATGAAGGCAAGGAAGGCAAGAGGGGCAAGGAAGATGAGGAGGGTGAGTAGGCGAGGAGGGTGAGGAGGGAGGGGGGGGCTGTGGTGCTTCGAGTAGGTTCGAGAGCTGGCGCAGGCAGGCCGGGGACAGTTCACACCCGTGTTTCCTCCACGGCCGATGGGTCTTATCGTCTGTGTTCGGGGGAGATTAGGTCGAGCTGGCGCCGTTTCAGGGCAGGGAAGGAGGGGAGGATGGAGGGGCTGATCTTCTGGGAAGCAGAGCCCTGGGAAACTGTCGGGGGAGTGTGTCTGCTGCCTGTACGGGAGCAAACTGCAAAGGCAGAAGAGCCCTTCAAACTGGTGGCACGAGAACAAATGGGTGTAAATGCACCCAGGGAAAACGCCGGGACGTAGACCGGGATGTGTCTGAGCACGGAGGGAAAGCGCTGTGGGTTCATGAGCGCACCTGCAGGAGCAGGGGCCGCGGTGGCCCGGGGATCCTAGCCCTGGATCTCTGCAGTCAGGGTCCCCGCGTGCCCAGCACCCGGCAGCCGCCTGTACTGGGCCAGTGCAGGCACTGCTCTCCTCATACACCCTCTCCCACCCCTCGCGAATGCTCATCTCCTTCTGGTGTCACAGCACAGGGCAAACCCAGGGCCAGTTTACTATCTTACAACGCATCACCTGTGACCTGAAGACAATGATTTATTTTTAATTTAGGCTCCAACCCCCTGAAACCAGTGGCCGTGTGTGCTGGGCTGCAGCTCTGCCTGTCCCGCTCCCACCCTGCCCAGGTGCCAGGGGACCAGACGCCCAGGGCAAGTGGGGGGGCACTTCCCTGGCAGTCAGCAGGGATTTGTGGCTCAGGGGCTTGAGCCCAAGAGCAGTGTTTGTGCTTAATGGTCTCTGGTGGATTTTTTTCATTCCATGAACTCGTTTGATTGCTTCTGGAGCTCATGCAGGCACTCGGCTCCTACAGCATCCTCAGTAAAGTCCTAAGCAGCCGTTGTGATAGATGGACCCTGGAGGGATTCATCCTACCCCATCAGAGAATCCTTCAAGGGGATGCCAGCACCAAGTTTGGCTTGGCACACCCTTCCCCCTGCTCCCCAGAGGGATGCAGGCACAGCAGGGTGATGGCCAGAGCTCCATTCCCCTGGTCCCGCTGCCAGCATCAGCCGCATCCCAAGCTGGGGCAGGTGGAAGCGGGCAGGGCCCGGGGGGCACCCAGGGTGCCCGTGGCCGGTGGTGCCTCTTGTACATGGCTGGCCTCACCAGCCGCTCCCTCCTTCCCCCCCTCCAGCAGGAGCACCATGAGGCTCCAGCCCACCCCAGCCCCGGCACAGACAGACACGGTGCTGTGGCAAAAGAGTCTTTATTGATGGCATCCAGGCACGGGTGGCAGCTTATCTGTACTTCTCAGCCAGCACGGCAGCCACGGCCGACAGGAACTTGTCGAAGGCAGCGTGCACCTCAGGGGTGTAGTCCTTGCCCAGGTTCACAGCCAGCACCACCTGGAAGCACTGCGACAGCAGCTGCAAGGCAAAAAGAGGACTCAGCACCGCTGTTATGGCCCTCTTACCCCCAGCCTGGTCCCTGTCCCTCATCCCACATCCCACATCCCACATCCCCCTCCTGCCTTGAAGTTGACGGGGTCGACACGCAGGTTGTAGGCGTGGAGGTTGCTGAGCTCAGACAGGGCCTGGCTGAGGTTGTCCATGTTCTTGACGGCACTAGTCAAGGCGTTCACCACCTTCTTGCCATGGTTGCGGACCTGGTCGGAGCCACGGGTCAGGTCGAAGTGGGGGAAGTAGGTCTTGGTCTGGGGGTAGGTGATGAACAACCTGCCGGAGCGGGACGGTCAGTGCTGGTGACCCTCAGCTGGACACCCCCCCCCAGCCCCCCGTGGGGCTCCCACCCGCTTGCC